GTCAAGGTAGTGTCCTCTCACCCCTGCTCTTCATTACTTACCTTAACCACGTTATCATCAGGATAGAGAGAGAAGATTTCAAAGCAGAACGTTTCGGGTATGCAGATGATATTGCACAAACAGGAAACAGCTTGGTCAGACTGCAAAGAATAATGGGTCAATGGGACCAGGAGCTGTCCACTGCCGGACTAAAGTTGAGCTACGGTAAAACTGAATATATGAAAGTCGGCAGAAAAAGAGAAAAAAGGAAAATCACCATAAAAGGGCATACCCTCAAGCAAACGACCGGCTTTGGCTATCTGGGCAGTAAGCTGTCATCTAACAACCTCATTGACGAGGAAATTGACAACAGGATTGCAAAGTTTACTAGAAACTTATGCTCACTGTACCCTCTCCTAAAGGAAAAAAGTATCCCTAAAGACGTTAAGATCTGCATCTACACTACTATATTAAGACCAGTCTTATTATACGGTAGTGAAACCTGGACTCTCTCTCAGAGACTCAAAAGCAAAATTCAAGCTACGGAAATGAGAGTACTGCGCCTAATCTACGGAGTTACCTTAAGGGACAAAGTGAGAAATGATATAATAAGGAGCTCTTTCTCAGTGGAGTCCATTCTGAACATCATAGAAAGAAACCAGCTGAGATGGTTTGGGCATGTACTGAGAATGCCAGAGGGTAGGGATACAAACAGGATATACAACTGGAAACCAAAGAAGAGAAGACCACCTGGCAGGCCAAGAAAGAGGTGGGAAGATCAGATCAGAGAGATCACACAGAGAGAGCAGAGGGACTTCGAGGAAGTGAAGAATCTGACTCAAGACAGAGCAGCATGGAGGAACCTGACCCAGAGGCTGACAACTGACAGACCAGAAGGTCTACAGGCGTCCGGGTGAGCAGGTGAGCATATAACTGATATGATATTGCTAACCTAAGGTAGCCAAAATACAAACCAAAGTGGTCAATTTATACCAAAATGCGTAAAATGTAATAAAGAACATTGTGTTAAAGAAGACACAGTTATGTAGTTTCATGAAATATATCCTGTATTCCATTCCGTCTTCAATACAGTATTTGCATTTTATTTGCCTGTCAGTGAGTACATGTATATCTAAGGGAAGAAAAAAATATAATGTCAAAAAAAATATAATGTCTTATATAATTAGATAATAGTTTTAAAATAGGAAAATGGTGCACGATCACATCAAGAAAAGTATGATTTAAAAGACAAAATCTGACATACAAAATCTAAAAAAAAAAAGATGCTCTTTCTTTTTCCATATGGCCATGAAATTCTTTCGGCGGTCTTTCAAATTTTCGGTCGCTCATTGGTTGCAGTCTCTGGTTGCAAGTGGGTTGTTATCAATAGATTTACATCATATCATGGAGTTAAAAGACTTCTAGCTCCATGATCATATATGTACAGTGTAGTACAATTGGTACATATGTTCAGTTTGTCTACAAGATCTCCGTTTCCGACGTAGTCCCGATGGCATCCTGACGTGGCGACCTCCGAGCGCCGTTCGCAGGCGCTATGAAGGTCAGACCGACATTCCGCATGGACCTCTGCGAGCCAGCCGGCGACATGCCGATGTTAGCGGCGAAGCTTCGGATGCTCGGCCGAACCTTCCGCCCGCGCCACTGCCTGTAGTTTTGCAGAATGTCGCGAGGGGCGTGCTTCATGGTTGAGCGGATGTTTTCGTTCAGCGCAATGTAGACGAGTGTGTCCATCATGCTGTTGCCCATGGCCAGCGCCTCGACCGTGTACATCAGGGAGTTGTTGAAGGAAGACATGGACAGCATTTCCGGGTAGTAGTCCCGGATGATCGTGACCACGTGGTACGGTCCCCAGCACACGATGTACAGAACAAGGATGACCACCAGGATTCGAACCGCCTTCAGTCGAGACTTCGCAACGGCTGATGCCTATTGGCAATGGAGGAATAAACATGCCTCAAAGAACGAATATTTAAAAACAACAACTCGTTTCTAAGTGTTTTCTTTGGTGAGAGATTCATGATTTCATCGCTTCTGCATGTGACGTCACGTTATGCAGATGACATAGCTTCTGCAACATATGATCAGAGGATCATATGTTACAGAAAGTCTGTGGCACCCCCCGTCTTTGTTCTGGGATGGTTGCAATGCCCTGGTGGAGATGGCCTCTTTAATTCCGCGTACAAAGAAGTCTGGCTCAGTCTCCAAGATTTTTTTTACTTAGTCCAATAAGACTAGAGTTGTACAGCCAAAAATTTGTGTAATCCAAGGACATTATACGTCCTTGTATAATCTAATTTCTCTTGTTGGAAATTACAGTTACTTCATAATAACTTCTACCAACACAGTTGATGAACTTTCAAGATACCTGCAGACTTGTTTGATGTCCCGGGATCCGGCGGCAGCACACCTTCTTGAGTATGCAGCTGTAGCAAAAGATCATCATCAACACTGGCAGGGCAAACTCCAGGACGAACACCGACAAGTAGTATACCCGGTACCTGCAGGGAATAGAGAGAAGAATAAGCAGTTACTGAACAAAAATGATTTTCTAGGGTTCGCGGAAAAGGCTGGCTAGCCAAGCCAGGCATGAGGGTATCCGGAAAAGGTTGGCCGGGCCCCATACTGGGCTACCTTGCAGTGCTACCCTTTCCCGTGCCCCAAAGGGTATGCATGGGGGTTTGGTCTCTAACAATTATACTTGTATTTAAAGCTGTGGGTGGGATATTTGTGGGTAGTGGGGGTGGATGGTAATTACTTTTATTAGCAACTCAAAGTCTCAAACCAAACTTTCTTGGCAGACCTAATACACGTACCAAAACGCACACGAATCTATTGATGAATTATATATTTAAAAGTAACCCCCCAGCCCTCGACTTAAGTGTCCGTTTCAAGTTTCAACGTGAATCCTTTTACCTCTCTTTTTCGTGTATTGGCCAGAGTTGTCCGCAGAACACTTGCTCGTTTATGTGGTACGGGATGACAACGGAATATCTCCCGGCAGGCACCGCGAACAAGATGGCCGCCAGCCAAGCCAAGGCAACAACCCCAGCCGCCCACTTACCGGTCAGCCGGGTGATACTGGGGTGACAGATCACCAAGTACCTAATATCAAAGATAAAAAAAAAATGTTTCAGCAACCTTAGTAGGTAGCTTCCCCCAGCAAGTAATTTGGTGACATCAAGGCGCGCATTGCTTTTCGACTTATTATTTAAAAAAAAATGTTGCAATACGACAGCGGTCAACATGATGAAAATGAGCAAATATATCGTAAAAGTCTATCGGTCCAGAGACCACAGCTACAGAAAACCTGTGAGGTACAATTGCTCGTGTTTAGTGGGGAGTGTTGATACTCGTATGAGTACACATGGCGTGGTTACCAGACCTATTATAGCTCACGATTCATCTACATCCTCTCCGCAAATAGTTGCTATAATAGGTCTAGTAACCAGGCTAACACATCGTAGTAAAGCTACCCATGGTGGTATGGCAAGCCGTTTTGCTAATTGAGACATATACTACAAGGCCACATACTAGTATTATAAAGGAACTTGTTTTTTTTTTGTCCGACTTGTTTGTTTTCGCCCTAGCGCATCAGATTTGTATGTGCTGTGGACTAAGATAAAGTAAATCTATGATAGAAGTAAAGTAAATCTATGATATATGCATGTTATCTGCTAGCATAACAATAACGCGATTTGTGCGGAATTCTTTACACTCGATCAGTGATGACCTTTACAGTTACCGACTAATGCAGTATCAGAGGACGACAAAGGACTGGAAACAATAGAATAACCTTGAACTTCATTGTTTCTTCACTGTATTTCTGTTTATCTCAGCCAGACATGGCCAACTCCGAGGAGGAATCTGTTTCAAGGTCTAATAAAATATAGGAAAGCCTTGACTCTCTTTTATAACGGAAGAAACATGGGAAGAGCGCTACTTCTGCTAGCCTGTAGTCTACAGACATTATCAGTATTCTAGGTATATACATACATATCAATTTTGTTAGCATTCGTTGAGTCAAACGTTCAATGACTGCACGTACTTTAAAAGAAAATTTGTGTTACAGCCAGAAAGACAATTAGTTGATATACCCGTGTCTAGGAATTGTATCTGGTCCAAAAGGCTAATTTAAAGGATCAAAACATCGTTAGTTCATACGACCGTGTCCCTGGTCATTTTGCTTTTGGTGCAATGACGCAATACAAATGTTGTCTAGCAGCCAAAACGACACTTAAGCCATTGAACCATGCAAACATTAAAAGGGTGTTTGGCCAAATGGTAAAGAAACGTTTTGCTTGATGGCCAGAAAGAGTGTTAGTTTAAAACTGTGTTCAAAGGTTACATGATGCAAATTAAAGAAAAATTTATTTGTTTAACATCATGACCTCAAATGCTCATGTCTAAACTGTTTGTCTAAAGACTGAACAAGATAAAACATTTTGGTTTAGCGGCCAAAACATATTTTTATGTAACTGTCCGAACTTTGGTTTTGGTTCAAAGACTAAAAGAAAGTTTGTTTACCGCCGGCCAAGAAACCTGTTAGTTCATATGCCGTGTCTAAAAGCTGCGATTCGTTAAGAAAAACGATAGACGCAAACCAAATAGTTTTGCCCAAGGGTCCAAAATATTGTTATTAGCTATAGTCCACACAGCTGTGTCAAAATCAATCTACTTTTGATTCATCATTAATATTATGCCAAAGAGATGTCTTCCAGACAAAATGACGATTAGGCCACACCAAGTTGGTTGGTTGGTTCTCGGACTCGCCCGCTTCTTTTTTTTTCGATGTGAAAAAAATCAGGCTCTGAATCAATTCTAAATGCACATATTTTCCCCCAACAGTTGAAACTCCCTTGAAAGAGTTGTACAAACTTTTCCACCTATCAATGCAGTGGTTTTAGTAAATAAAGATGTGAAATTCTTTGTTTGAATTACAAACCAGCCTGGTATGTAGACTTCAAGGCTCCTATGAGTCCTGTCATAGAATGCCTGGCTCTGTTTTTTTTAAATTTTTTTCGCCCTGCCACTTCATCTTTTTTTCTGAAAAAATTCGAGAACCCACAAATGAAATTGGTGTGGCCTTAAGTTAAATAAGCGTACCCAACCACAAAGTTGTAGCTGTAAGTACTAATTACTATCAAACAATTTGGTTAACTGCCAAAAAGAGTGTTAGTTCATTTAACCGTGGGTAAACTCTACCTGTTTCAAAAACAAAGTAAATTAGAAATTTGTATAGCGGCCAAAAGGCTAGCTATTTCATTAAAGGATCTTACGTTTGCAGCTGGTTCAAAGACTTAAAGAATGCAAAGGAAATTTGTAGAACAGCCAAGAAAGCTGTTAGCTGTAGTTAAAAGAGACCAATTAACGCAGATTTTTGTTAAGCAGCCAAAAAGACAATTAGTAGTAAATATTAGCGTATCCCACTGCCAAGTCTGGATTGTCACGGCGTTGGACATATGTAGTTTGCTAGAATATAAAGTATAGGATCTTTAACTGCACGAAATTCTATCTTTAAACACACCTTATAGTACACGTAAAGGTTTCTGTAAACCAGATCCTATTTCTGTAAACCATGGTCCCAGTTCTGTACACCGTGGTCCCATTTCCGCAAACGATGGTCCCATTTCTGTTCTACTGCGTAAGCGTTAATGCACTCACCTGTCAATGGCGATGATCAACAGTGCGTTAGTGGACACGTACAGGGACATGGTCTTGGTGTAGTTGACCGCTGCGCAGGCCGTCTGTCCGTGTGTCCACACCCGGGACTGGACAATGTAGTAGTCCATCACAAACGGCACGCAGATTACGGCCATCAGAAAATCCGACATGGCCAGATTAGCGATCAGCATGTTGGTCATGTTCCGCATCTTCTTGTACTGTATGATGACGTAGATCAGGATTAGGTTAATCCCGCCGCACGTGATCATAGTAAGCGTGTAGACTGATCCCAGGATGGCTTTCATGAAGACCGGAACGTCCGGATCCGTCGACGTTCCGGTTAGACTGTCCGGAAGGTTGCGCTGTTCCGTCGTGTCGTTGTGATGGAAAGAAAACGTCTCCTCTGCGCCAAACAGCTCTTCGTACCAATTATAGTCAACGTCCGACTCGGATGAGCCTATGTAGTACTCGGGATAATCCGTTAGATTCTCCATTT